GCGTCTCGTGTAGAGCGATTTCTACTCAATCTACGCTCTAGTGACAGCAACCGTCGTTTGGCAGCATTATAGGAACCACCCAAATCACTTACTGTTGTTTTAAATGGAATTTTCGTAGTAAATCGGCCAGATGTATCTCTACGAATTGATTCACGGAAAATTTTCTCGCATTCCTCTTCTTCTTCGGTTAAAAAATTTGATTTAGTTGAAATCTGTTCTATTTTCCAGAATTTTTCAACCAATTGACTCAAGTTTTCATTCTCATTATGGTTGTGATTGACCAGCATATTATTTATTTTATGACTAGGCGCTAAACATTCTTCTGCTTTGCCTGTAACTATCCACCCTAGTATGGATTTCTGTAGGGTTGGCAACCTTTCATTAAGATAAATTCGTCCAATCGACAACAAATCGAAGAAAATTTCCGCACCAATTAAAATATCTATACGCGCTGGCTTATTGAACATTGGATCAGTCATTTGAATATTTTTTGGTAAATTCCAGTCCGCAACATCGACATAACGATTAGGTTTGGAGCTTGTTATTTTCGGTAAAACATAAAATTGCAGACTGACTTCGAATTCATTTATTTTTGATTTGATGGTAGCCACAATTTTTGTTTTAAAGCTAGTTACAACGTCTCCAACACAGCTAGCATCTAATTTACAAGACGTTTTTTTTAATAACAGTTTTTGAGCAACTTTCTCACACATCAAATTTACTTGAGAGCCAGAATCTAATATGGCTCGCATTTGGTGATGTTTGCCAAACTTGTCCGCTACCATTACTACTGCTGTTGCCAAAAAAACCTCGTTTTCAGTCATTACGTTCATAACTGATGACTGAGCTGTCTCCTGTGTTGACGTAGATGGTCCATTTTTGCATCTTTGTTCATTTGGCTTCAAGATATAATCTTTATGTAAAAGTTGATGATGAGATAAATTACATTTCGAGCATTTAACAGCAAAGCATTCTTTTTGAAGGTGTCTCCTTTTCAAACATGTAAAACATACCTTTATTCTCCGTGCTACAATAAAGCATTCTTTTAACTTGCTACAATCTGCAATATCGTGGCCACTGCCATTGCAGACTTCACATAAAGGTTTTGTAACTGCAAGAGAGGTTGAGTAGTTGCGGTTATTTCTATACTCTTTTTGATAGTTTACAGCCTTTGAATTCACTTGATTAACTTTATGTTCCCTTGCATCAAGGTTCTCACATCGCCTCGTCAAAACCGCTGAACATTCATTCCAAGTTGACAGCTTCCTGTAATCCACTGATTCTTCCCATTTGACCTGCGAATCTTCGTCCACTCTTTCCATCACCAAATGAATTATTATGGCATTCGCTATATCTTTGTAATCACCTAATGATAGCATTGCATTCAAATGTGCATTCGTTGCATTTAATACATTTCTTAAATGAACTGCAGATGGTTTTGTTAATTTTGGGACAGCAAAGAGGGCTGTAATATGTTCCTCGAACATCAACGCCTTTTTATCGAAGCATTCCTTCAATCGATCGAGTGCTTTGGGGTAATTGTCCTCTGTGACATCAAAATCGTCAATAGCTGCCAGCGGCTTAGAGCCCAAGTGCTCTTTAAGTATCAAAAATTGTTCGCAGTCATCAAGCATTTCATCCTGGTTGATTAATTTATTAAACAAGGCTATAAATTTCGGAAATTCGCTATACTTCCCTTCAAATTTCGGTAATTTTACTTCCCGATGACTTCTTGGGCCCGGCAATAACGATGTTGTATTCGTTGCATTGACATCTACCAGTGATAGCTTTCTTTTTTTTTAGTAAACTCATTATTTTTGCTTTCGTGGCCACAAATGCATCTTCAACTTCTGCTGTAATTGCTTCGCTGAAGAAGTATCTGCACCTTGGTTTAGTTTATCGATATCTGCTTGCACACTCAGAAACTGTTTGAAGTAATTTTCTGTCAAACTACGCCTGTAGTTAAGTTCTTCTGTTGACAAACTTGACCCTTTTTTCAAAATCATTGATTTTATGCGAGTGATGTTGCCTTTGGTGCTGCCTCTCAACGCCTTCAATTCCGCCAGTTTCTTAGACCCTTTCGGCACGCCTTCTTGCTCCCCGTCGCTTTGTTCGTGAATTTTTGAGTCTAACATTTTGCAATTATATATTTTTTTTTTCTGGATCACTATCCCTTTTCTGGATCACTATCCCTATTATGGATCACTATCCCTTTTATGGATCACTATCCCGGGTTTCGGCACCAATGTTTTATTCAGTTAGTTTACTGATAACTTTTCTTCACGACTACTTTATTATTTCTCAAAAACACATGGCGCCTTTTCGCGTGTGCTTAAAGGCGACGACACAATACAAAAATGACAAATAAATTAAAGGCCATGATACAATAAATCTTAATTCTAAACAGTAGTGTTTATACAAAATTATTATATGTATGCATAATAAAATTATAAAGGGCATAATATTGAATTTATTATTATTTATTAAAGTATTGTAAAAATATAATATTAAGAATGCAGAAAGATCAAATTGCTTAAAAGATGAGGATGTTATACTGGAATTAGATTTCTGCTTAATACTAAAAAATATTCGTAGTTTGCAAGAAGTACATACCGAAAATCCTAATAGCGAACACGTTCTACTAACTTCGGAGGAGACACGCTGTACTAATTTGTGGAGACAATGAAGCGTACTCTTTCTATTCAGATAGAATTCCTATAGAATTGACTTCAACTCGATATTTTATTGATTATATTGCACGCCATCACAAATGTCAAAAATGTCGAATGAACACAATCAAATCAAATGAAATTTCGACTTATCCATCAGAGATGTTTATACACAACAAAAATTATAAGCTTAATAACGATTTTGGAAGATTGTGAAAAACTCAGATTTGAAACATAAATTCGCATCATGTTTTTACACAACACTTCAGAACAATTTCTAACAGGTAATTTTCTTTATATTGTGGAAGCATCACATAAAGATGAGAAAACACAAAAACATGGTGGCAGCATTACTAAAAAATAAGAATACATAATACATGATGGCAGCATTATGCGGTAGACATTTTTGATGCCAGTATATAAAAAGCGACGCTTGCTATAGTTTGGTTTTTCGGTGACAGCGCTCTTTTCATTAAAAATAAAATATTCGACAGCAACTCCGTAAGCTTATGTATTTAAATAATTTTGATTGTAATAATTGCAGAGACAAAAAAGTGCGTAATAAAAAGCTTTCCATAGTTAATCAAAAACTGCAAACTCGACTAAAAATATAATCTACATTATTCGACTATAAAGCGAAGTGGAAATACTTACTGTTATAAGAATAAGTTGTACAAAGTTTTAGTTGTTTTCTTAGCTTCAGTAATTGTATAAAAATAAATATTGTGTAACCATTAACGAAATAGCATTTGCACTAAAGGGGTGACCCCGACGTGATTGTGGTGTAAGAGTCTCTTCAACACGTTTCAAAAGTTCAACATTTGCCGAACTTTATCAATTTCGATTTAATTTGAAGTTAAAACATTTGAATTAAATTTAATTTTCATAAACAAAGGCTGTTGTTAGAGCTGTAGTAGAAAGGTAAAACTGCGAGCATCATACCCAAACAACATGTCTTTGCCAGCTGTCAACGAAACCGCAGCGGTGCAGCGAGAAACCGAGTTTCCAGTAGACAATCTGAACCGCATTTCAGTCAAAGCACTGCCATTTTGGCATGAACGGGAAGAAATCTGGTTAGCGCAAATCGAAGCGCAGTTTGCAATCGGAGCCATATTTAGCGACGTTACGAAATTCAAAACCGTCGTCACAGCAATCGAGTCCAGCGTCGTTGCTGATGTAGCTGATGCAGATTTACACCCTCCGGCAACAGGTAAATATAGTAACCTGAAGAATCAAATTAAAGAGCGGTCTGGCGAAAGTGAGCAACGAAAGATACAGCGGCTCCTCTCAGAAATCGAGCTAGGAGATCGCCGACCAACGCAACTATTGAATGAGCTGACAGCTTTATCGAAAGATAAAGTCAGTAAGGAGTTTCTGAAGTCTCTCTGGCTCCAATGTTTACCACCGCAAGTACGTGCCATCTTACAGGCATCCAGCGTTGACCTGGTAGAGTTAGCTAAACTGGCCGACAGAATATCCGAAGCGGGAGACTACCACCAAATAGCTGCAGCAATGCCTAATGTGGGCGGCAGTTCAAACGAGACAGCCATGCTGTGCCACCGCTTAGATCAGATCGAACAGCGGTAAAGCCGATTGGATTTTCGTGGACGCCAGCCGTCGATAACTCAGCAGTCCTCACGCAGAAGGAGCCGAATGCGATCGCAGTCCTCAAATCACTCCGAATGGTGCTGGTTTCATAGCAGATTCGGAGAGCAAGCGCGCAGATGCTGTCAGCCATGTACGTATACCACTAACGCAAGGCCGAAAAACTAAGCTTGCCTCAATCGACGTCGAGCCGATTTGAGGACAGCGCTATAATAGCTAGACTTACAGTATAAGATCCGGCAATGTCAACTTCATTTCTTATCGATCTATCTGAACTGCCTAAAAAATACGGTCTCATCACATCACTAAAAAATACGTGAGCTCATCATATTCTACACCAACTGCATGTTCATCTATAAGCTGCAACTCAATAGTATTATCTAAGAACAATCAACATACAATCGTAGCGCTACAGACAATCACTTTTCATTAAATATCAACAACACGATACGACTTGTAACTATATTTGAATTAATAAAATTAATCGAAAACGACTAAAAGTATAATTCCCAAGAAGTTAGTACCAACAAATACTATTAAATTTATCAAAAATATTTTAAACGTTGCAATAAGATTGAAATATTTTTTTACAGTGTATAAAGTCGCTATCATAACCGCTATACCTAAACCACAGAAAAATGCTACTCAACCGACTTCCTATAGATCTATAAGTTTTTTGTCGAAACTTTCTAAAGTTTTTGAAAACATAATCTATGCTAGACTGGAACCAATACTAAAAGTAATTGGAGCCATACCAAACCATTAGTTTGGATTTCGGCGCAATCTTTCAACAATACAGCAAATCCTTAGAGTGGTAAACAAAATCCTAACAGAATTAGGCGAAGGTCGATTTGTATTCTTGATGATGAAATAGCCTTCAATAAAGTATGGCTTTTAGGGACTTTTACTCAATATAAAAAATGTTGCCTCATGACTTTTACGAACTCATTAAAAGTTATGTTACTGAACAATGCTTCTGTGTTTGATACGAGTGCTCTACAATCAGAAAGGTTGAAGGAAGCTTCCCCCAAGGAAGCGTATTGGGCCCCCTACTGTATCTTCTCAATACTTCAGATATTTCTGAATCATTAAGTTAAAACTTAATGCTAGCAACGTTCGCAGATGATACAGTACTACTTACCTCATATACAAACATCGTAGAAGCAACTTCAAAAATGCAACACACAATCATTACGACTAAAAAATGGTTTTACAATTTTTTTTTTATTCTCAATTTATAAATTATTTATTGAATCTTTTTATTTAGAAACTTACAATAAGTGGATTAAATCTTAAAACTAAATTTATTTTTTCTCTAGGCCATTGCTTTGGAGAAAACTATTGAGATATTAAATCATTTATAATAAATTAAGATTGAAAATTAAAATTAAAACTAAAATTAAATTAAAATTAAAATCAATTAAAAAATCACATTCAATTAAATCAAATATAATTTAAAATATTTTAAATTAAACAACAATTTAGAAAGTTAGCAGATATTAATTGTGTTCCTTGTTTTTAAACGTTTATGGCCTCTGTTCAGTTGCAAGAAGTACATACCGAAAATCCTAATAGCGAACACGTTCTACTAACTTCGGAGGAGACACGCTGTACTAATTTGTGGAGACAATGAAGCGTACTCTTTCTATTCAGATAGAATTCCTATAGAATTGACTTCAACTCGATATTTTATTGATTATATTGCACGCCATCACAAATGTCAAAAATGTCGAATGAACACAATCAAATCAAATGAAATTTCGACTTATCCATCAGAGATGTTTATACACAACAAAAATTATAAGCTTAATAACGATTTTGGAAGATTGTGAAAAACTCAGATTTGAAACATAAATTCGCATCATGTTTTTACACAACACTTCAGAACAATTTCTAACAGGTAATTTTCTTTATATTGTGGAAGCATCACATAAAGATGAGAAAACACAAAAACATGGTGGCAGCATTACTAAAAAATAAGAATACATAATACATGATGGCAGCATTATGCGGTAGACATTTTTGATGCCAGTATATAAAAAGCGACGCTTGCTATAGTTTGGTTTTTCGGTGACAGCGCTCTTTTCATTAAAAATAAAATATTCGACAGCAACTCCGTAAGCTTATGTATTTAAATAATTTTGATTGTAATAATTGCAGAGACAAAAAAGTGCGTAATAAAAAGCTTTCCATAGTTAATCAAAAACTGCAAACTCGACTAAAAATATAATCTACATTATTCGACTATAAAGCGAAGTGGAAATACTTACTGTTATAAGAATAAGTTGTACAAAGTTTTAGTTGTTTTCTTAGCTTCAGTAATTGTATAAAAATAAATATTGTGTAACCATTAACGAAAT